CCCCCCCCCCCCCCCCCTCAACCAACACCAAATCATTGCTGCGCCCTCACCCACCCACCGACCTACTGCATGTATCCACCCCAAGCTATGGCCGCGAAACATGATCATTTTCTCCGAAACACCCGGGTAGGACATTGGACGGCAACATCACCAACACCACCCGCTGCTTGGCCAAAAACCAACTGGAAGAGGCCGTGTGGTAAACTTATTTTCCCCGCGGTAAATAGCAGGCCGTGGTAGAACCGCGCGTTGTGTGTGGTACGGTACTCTTCAACAGCAGCACTCGCACCCAAATCGAAAGGCGACCACTTACAAACAAGGATATTCAAGATATTCGAAGGAAAAATGAATGCGATCCACTAGCAGCAGCGCTCGCGGAAGCGTGTGTTGTTCGACGGTTCGCTCGAGACAGCCGCTAAATACGTCGGGGAGGCCGACGACACTTGGCACGGACTCACGCCACGTCTGAGCTATTAGGCGAAAAAATAACAGCCAGCGAAGGGGCTGCTTGCTGGCACGCCTGCAACCAAGCAACAAAACAGAAAGCGCTTAAGTAAACAAGTGCCTGCCGTTCTACAACATGGACCGCGTGAAAGAAGCATGCGATGCGGTAGACGCTACAGTCTGGATGATGCCACCGGTCGAAGTAAGGACAACTTACCCATGTTGCGGGACGCGTTTCGCCGATCCACCCGTGGTAAACAATTCTCTCCCCTCAAACCCAAGGATGACTGCCTGATTCTTGACCGGCCTCGGCAACAACGGATATGTTGGACTCCTACGTGCAACAGAGCACAAAGGACACATTCCTCCGTGCTACGTCGAAGAAACGAGGGTGTCGGAACTTCCTTCGGGGGAAAAACCCACGCCGGAAACACTCACAAAAAAGAAGCCATGATGGGTTGCGCCGCCACAGACCACAGACCACTCAAGAGACAAGACAGACCAAGAAGAAACAATCAGATTCCGTAAAAAAAGCTTCGGGTTTTCACTCGAAAATTGACGTGTGTGGTTTTCGTTTCGATTTTGAGTGTCCCGGTAAAAATGGGCCACAAGCCACACAGGACAGGAAAAAAAATAAACTTGACACGCTGGACGCCACGGCGCCCTTCACGCCGCCGCCTAGACGCCGCCTTTCCTTGGAGTAGACAGGCACATAGAAGAGCAAACATCACAAAGGCTACCAAACGCAACATGGTACAACAACGAGCAAACGAACATAAAAGGAGGCGTTACGTAAAGGACGACAGACCTTGATAGCTGTCTAGTTTACATCGGCCGCGTTCCCTACTAGTAAAATCGTACATCCGACGGCACACCGCCCTTGAATTCCCGACCATCACATGCATGACAAAAAACATACACCGACCTCAAAACACAGAACGAGCCTCTTCCCTGCAGAGTGCTGCTGAAAGCTCGCACTTCGATATCCCTTACGACATCGACAGCAGCAGCAGTCCCTCCTCGCGTACCTTTCTTCGAGGTGTAGGATGGGGGCGGCGCACAAGCCGGTGCGGCCATACAGGACGACAACTATGACATCAAGCTGGGGCGGGAGCAGGTGCCAAATAGGACGACAAACACGCCATCAAGCGGGAGGGGGGCGGGGGGGGGGGGGGGGGGGGGGGG